TCGAAGGTCATATCGCCCTAGAGAGTTTCTGTCGCTGTTGCACAGAGGACGGTAATTATTACATCATTTTCTGAGGTTAAAACCAACCTCAGAAGCGGAGCTATTTAAAACCATTTTGTCTGCCCACATCAGGAGTCTTGAATAAGTACAAAGAATGGCATTGAAAGCTGACCTGCTACAAACGCCACAGATTTCCAGAAATTGCGAAAAGTAAAAACAGGAGAAAGCTGCTCGTGGCCATCATTCGTCTTCTGATACAGCAAAACCCAGCAGCGTTCACCCCTGATCGACAACAGCATATGATATGGTCTATTGACAACAACAACAAGACTGACAAACGCGCAAGAGGAAACCACGTTTCATTCGACAACCAAAAATATTCGTCTGCTGGTGGCATAGTGGATGAGGCAAATTTCGACTGGCAACGAAACGAGGAGCGGAGCTAATGAGTCCATCCTTATGAAATTACTAAATCGATTCCTGAGCCATTGTCGCTAATGAGCACTACTGTACTGTTCATGAAAATATCCAACATAGTTATTACGAAGGAGTCCCGGCTATCTCTAAACTATGATGTTGTTCAGGTGTGTCACCTTGGCCATTTGAAGGCAATGAACGCTTCACAGCTGGTCAAATGACCACGAATAACAGAACAGAATAACAACTACTCGGGCCGTCACAAAAATTTCAGTAGGCTCTGTTCAATATGATTACGAATGCATGAATAAAAAAATCTATCTAAAAAAGTACGTTATTAAAAGCGTAGAAATATTTTCTCATGCCATGCTGAACCGTCCCTTTAATGGCCACAGTTCACCCGATCGGCTACTAAGGAATTAGTCGTCCGTGTGATTTGATCGAATGAACTCTGGCATAAGAGGTATACACATCGGCTCCTGAGCAATAGCCAGATGGTCATATGTCGAATGAGCCTAAGCAATATCGAATTCCCGTAGTGTGGCGGCGAACAACGAATCGATAGACCAAAAGTCTTTCGATCATCAGAAACAAGGGACCGGAAAAATCACTGACGCTACAATCTGACCAAACGCTTTACACCATTGCAAACAAGCCACATCGCTGAATGATTGGGTGAAAATGACCGAATCTTTCAGTACACAAACTTCGGTTTCATTAGCACGTTCAATTCAGTTCCTCAGAGGCTGAAGTCGCTCAACTGCTCATAAAACGGTTAGCAAACTTTTCAGACCCTTCGTCATAAGTTTAGGTCAGGTAGAGCAACTACACAATCGCTGTAAATAGCCTCTGAACCTCCACACGGTCATGGTTCACTTTCGCTCGTATCACTGCTGTTTTGAAGATGACGTTCCCGCGTTTCGGTATTTGCAGTGATAACATAACAGGGTTGGAGTAAAATGAGCGGTTTGAAACAGCTCTTTAATTGATAGCGAAAAGGAAATAGGTTATAGAATCAACACTGCTGAAGTGCACTAGTAAAGCGGTGACAGAGGTTGTTACGAACTCTGACAGTGAGGTAGTGATCTATCGTCTGCTACAACATCCGTGCTACGCGAATGACGTCGCAGTCACTGCATAAGGCCAGAAGAATCGAGAAGGCATCAATGATTACAAGAAGAGCCAGGATCGGGTGTAGGATAAAATTGAGATCATCGTTGAACAAAACACTGCTTCCGTGGGGCGGCCAAAGGATATCATCAAAATCTGCAGTCTTGCAAGGTAATTGTGATTTGCCTCGGAGTTCCGTTCTAGCACTCCTGCTATTCACATCCGCACCCATGATTGCACCGCTTCGCCGTCATTTTCTTGTGTGAAATATGCTGACGACAGTGCTGTTGTTGGGTCGCTTCGAGAATCCCAGCTGACCGGCCACAGAACGAAGCTACTATAAGAAGCGTCAGCACTTGCACTCAATGCTTCAAAATCCACTGAATGTATCTTCATAGTGAAAGACATATAAGGTGTCTCTTCTACAGTTCGCTACAAAACACTTGACATGCTGAAGGAATTTTTTTCTGGTGTACCAAGTCATGCAAAATATCTCAGAATGGTACCGTGGTCTGATCTCACCCGTAACAAATAAAAGAAATTCTTGACTTCAAATTTTTGGGAGGCTCTGTACCATTCGAAAGGACTGAACGTCTGGCAATCTCCTCAACAGGAATTTGAAGAGTTTGTATTGTAATGCGCATTACCTCTGTACATTCATGCTTCAGCAGTAATCTTTACTGCACTCGAACATGCGATTTCTTCGCTCCAAAACAATCACTAAAGCTTGTATTCAAAGCGAATGATACGCATTCTTCAGAGATAATCAATCTTGCTGTTAACCAAACAGCCTTTGACAGAAGCCTTGGCTACTGATATCCTCAGTGATGATGCTCATCCTCTTCAATTCAACTTCTCAGTATCTGTTATGGGTTCACTAAACCAAAGCGTGATATGCTGGCGTGTTGTTGGGCACAGAGATCCATCGGCTTTCCGTCTCTTTTCCAGGTTTCAGCTCACTTTCTCAGATACCCTCCAACTATAAAGTGGCAACTGCTAACTTCATATAATGTGCAATACGGTTTCTTTTTGATTTCGCTATTACATTTACATTACATTATTTTTCTTTGTTCCATTCTGTTTAGTGCCGGTCTGACACTTCCTTGCTATTTGTTTCTCATCCCATCTGTGATATCCCCTCGGTCTTGTAAATGCCACTCACTTGCAGGTCTACGGTAGTTATGTT